CTAGTTTTTTTTTTATAGTTCACAACTTTGCAGAACATATAGTTTCTCTATATATTGAAATAAAAATAGATAGATACCAAATTACGTTACTGGTAGAATTTGGCGTTTAGGACACTTTTGCAACCAACGCGAATAGAGCTCACAAGAAAATTTTTAGAAGACATCAGCACGCTATCTCTAATATTTTTCGAGTTATTAATATATTCCACCTAATTTTGCTTTCTGGACCACTGTGCAATGGTTCTGTCCATCTTTCCTACACACGTTTGCCAACCCTTGCGAAAGGGTGGTAGTTGTCCACTCGAGTAACTTTGGTAGCGGACGGTGCTCAAATAGGTGTGTTTATTTTAAATATTTTAACAATGCCTGATTGTAGCTCCTATTACAATGGTGGGTATAATTTAATTTAATGGGATATGATCTAATGTTACAATAGAGAATAAGAGTGACAAGCCAGGCATTTATTTTATTGAAGGATTTGACAAATAAAATATACAAAAAACATTTTTCTTCCTCGATAAAAATGTTTGGTCTAACTTGCCGTGCCTTAATGAGACCTATAAAATGAGATGTACATATTTCATTTATGAACATAGGTGGACCGGATTTTCCCACTCTTCTTTGAATCGGTACACCCAACCGGGAAATGTAAGATTTGCTTGCAATTATGTGGGATTCATCATCGCAGGAAGTTAGCGGAGACCGCATGAACGGATGACGAGATATACCGAGCTGTGGTCCAATGCAACAAAATTGGAAACCGAAAAATGTGGAGTGTATAAGTGAGAGAAATTAATCATGACGAAAAACAAAAATGGGTGCTAACTAAATGAATTCGAACGACGAAAGTTGCAATTATCAGACCTGTGCTTTCTCCATGCTTCGGAACATGGATAGGCTAAAAGCGAATAAGAGATGCACATAACACGATTGTTTGATTTCGTATGCATTTTTTCCTGATGGGAAATTGGAGAGAATCGAAACAAGTGTGCGCGTCGTTCTACAATGTAATAAATAAAATGCTTGGTAGTAAAGTCGAAAGCGGAGACAGAACTCGAAAAAAAAAATTAAATAAAATCATTGCATCGTCTGCATGGCCAACCTATATCATTCTCTGCGGTATTCGCTGCGGAAGATAATAGGAAATGAATCTAACATTGAATGTAATAAATGTTTGGTTTGCTTATCAATAATTTGCCTCGTATTTATGTTGTTTTTTCCGTTGATTTGTTTTCCGTCGATCTTGTTTTTCGTGCTGAGCACAAATAGGGTAACCAACTGATTTTGGACCCCTAGAGGAAGTGAGATCACGTTTATGTCAAAATAATATTATTTGTTTATTATTATTATGCAATTTACATGCGGATGTGTTCGAAAGCTACTCATCTTGGATGTAAAATGTCACTAGATGTTTTATTTATTGATATATACTCGAAAAATAATTCTTTTCACATCATGATATTCACATATTTTGGACCCTTCCACTTGATTTTGGACAGTGTCCATAATATATTTTGGACACACTGAACGGGAACGAATATATTTTGGACATGCTGAAGTTCTTTCAACCTATGAGCCTAAAATTAATTACGACGGTCACTTCTTCCTATCTCGCATTTGTTAGGTCCGTCTAGGTGGGAAAATTTTCAAAGAAGGTACCGTAAAACGGGGTGAAATTGATCAGCGGAGTGAATTTGATCGCTGAGTATACCCAATATTGTACTTATGCATAATATTTTTACAATGTATACAAAGATACATTCGTACGCTTAGTAACGAAAAACATGTTACACAGGAAAAAATATCACGAGAAATTTCAGCGATCAATTTTGCCCCGCTGATCAATTACACCCCGTTTTACGGTATGCATAAAAGTTAACCCCCCGTTACTCGCGCTGTTGTACTTTGTACAACACATATGAGTTTTCCATTGCCATTTTGTTGCTGCCAATCGATCTGAAACCAACTTGTATTCCTCAAAAAACTTGTTTTGAACTAAAAAAGCTAAACTTTGATTACAATTAACCCCCAAAATGCGGATAATAGAGAAAATGTAAATGGAAACCGCGTAAACGGTGTCCATACTACGTGGGATTGACTTAATTGGTTACAACATGGAATATCTCGAGATCCTGACCAGATAGAAAGTTACTGTCTTGGGCAAAGTTGTTCAGGAGGTCAAAGCCTATTTCTTAGTGTACAATAGTTCAGAATTATCTCACTTCGTGGTGCTAGTATACATGTGAAATTCTCGTGTATAAAATATCTCTAGATCCTGACCAGATAGAAAGTAAATGCCTTCAGCAAAGTTGTTCAGGAAGTCAAGCTCTTTTCGTTGGTGGAGTAGTTCAGAAATTTCACACTACGAGGCGCTAGTATATACGTGTAATTCTCGCATATACAATAGCTCGAGTTCTTGACCAGCTAGAAAGTTACTGTATTGGGCAAACTTGTTCAGGGGGTCAAGACTTTTCGACTGGTAGACAGTAGTTCAGAACTTTCTCACCACGTGGCGTTTGTATACATATACACTTCTCGCATATGATATATCTCGAGATCCTGACCAAATAGAAAGTTACTGTCTTTGAAACAGTTGTTCAGGAGGTGCTTGGTGTAGAATAGTTCAGAATTTTCTCACTATGTAGTTCTAGTATACACGTTAAAATCTCTCATATAAAATATCTAGAGAGCATGACAAGATAGAATGTTACTGTCTTGGGCAAAGTTGTTCAGGGGATCAAGGCCTTTTGGCTAGTGGACGGTAGTTTAGAATATTTCACTTCATGGTACTAGTATATACGTGCAATTCTCGCATATGATACATATATCTCAAGACCTGCTAAAAATGTACTGTAATCGGCAAAGTTGTCCAGGAGATCAAACCCTATCGTTGGTGGAAAGTACATAATTTTCTCACTAGGTGACGTTGAAAGACACGTGAAATCCTTGCATATAAAATATCTCTGAATGACCCGCATACTAGTGCCACGTAAAGGGAAAATTCTGAATTACTGTACACCAACGAAAAGATCCTAACATCCTGAACAACTTTGCCGAAGACAGTAACTTTCTGTCTGGTCAGGATCTAGAGATATTTTATATGCGAGAATTCCTCATGTATACTAGCGTTGCAAAGTGAGAAAACTCTGAACTTAAGTCCACCAGCAAAAAGGCCTTGACTTCCTGAACAACTTTGCCGAAGACAGTAACTTTTTATATGATCAGGATTTCGAGATATTTTATATGAGAATTTCACGTATATACTAGCACCATATAGTGAAAAAAATTCTGAACTATAGGCTTTGAACTCCTGAACAACTTTTTCGAAGACAGTAACTTTCTATCTGGTCAGGATTTCGAGATATATCACATGCGAGAACTTCACATGTATACTAGCGCTATGTAGTGAGTAAATTTTGAACTACTGTCCACCAGAAAAAAGGTTATGATCTCTAGAACTACTTTGGCAAAGACAGTAACTTTCTATCTGGTCAGGATCTCGAGATATTCCATGTTGTAACCAATTAAGTCAGAACCCTCGTAGTATGGACACCATTTACGCGGTTTCCATTTACATTTTCGCTATTATCCGCATATTTTGGGGGTTAACTGTAATAAATATTTAGCTTGTTTAGTTAAAAGCAAGTTTTTTGAGGAATACTCGTTGATTTCAGATCGATTGGTAGCTCGGCTGCAAAATGGATATGGAAAACTCACACTGTTGTACAAAGTACAACGCGTGAGTACTCGTGTTACAAAAGTTGGCGCGAGTAACGGAGGAAATATAATATAACATAAGGAAACAACTGATAATACCATAAAAAAAATCATTCAGAAGTAAATCTTAATACGGAGACCTGACTCTATGCTAGCAGTCCATATTATTTTTTGTATGGGCTGTTCATAAACTACGTAGACGGTTGTTGAGAGATTTCAACCCCCCCCCCTTCCGTAGAAGACAGTCTCAAACACAAAATTTAAAAAATTGTATGGACCGTAGACATCTGCCAAGCGCTCCCACCCCCCTAAAGCGTCTACGTAGTTTATGAACAGTCCCTTAGTTAAATGCGTTTGGGAGATAGGAAAACTTTTGTGGAAAACTAGGAACTAGGAAAACTAGGAAAACTCAGAGTGGACCACTCTACGTGTTTTGCCGTTTTTCCCATTTTGAATCGCCTGATAAACAAGAAATATATTTAAAAACAATGAATTCATATAATTTTGATTGATTTACTTACCAATTTAATCATAAATCTGAGATAATAGCACGATCGACCAACCGGAATTTTTTTTGTCGCTCTTTTGATGATTTTCATTTGATAAGTGTCCAAAATAAGTTGGTAACATTTTTTTACGATCTTTTTTGGATACTTTTTATTTAATACTTTTTAAGTAAAATCTTAAGGTGAAATCTTTATAAACACGTGAAATACATCTTCCAAAGTCAGATAAACTGATTTGATAAAAAAATCATTGAATTGTATATTTTAGACCAAATTTAAAACAAGTACACTAACGCCGATTCCTCTTGACAAACGTCGAAACATGAAACTTTTTCGATGACATTATCTAAAACTGCATAAATTGAGCAATTGTAAGCAATTTTAGGTGAAATAATGATCTTGAGACATAGCAAGTAATTGAAAGAATGTAATTACAACATCAACCCAGATGAATTTGAAGAAACTAGACAGTAAGCGAGGAAAATATATGAAAAGGGTCCAAAATATGTAGGGGTCCAATTCAAGTTGGTTACCCTACTACCGACGCCACATCTGGACTCTACCTATCGACCCATCAAACTCATGAACCGGGGACCAACGGCTTTACTTCTGTGATCAGACATGTTATGCCTCATAACATCCCGGCGGCGCCGACTGGGATTGAACCCAGGCTTGCTGGGGTGAGAGGTAACCACGCTTACCACTACACCACCAGTGACTTATTTATGTTGTTGAAACAATCTTGTGTATAATATTAAAAATATTTTGGCAACTTACCTAATACTTTCTTTATTGACGAAAAGGACCCTAATATGAAAAAGTTATTAATGTCCAGATTTCTAAGCTTTTCGATTTGATCTGCTCTATCTCGATCATTGCCGATCGCTGTAATCACATGCCTTGTTGGGATATTTTGCAGAAGGGCCTTGTATTTGTGATCCATTACGAATGACTCGTCATAAAGAATTGCTGCGTTTGTGATATTCATGTATATGATTATGGATCTGATTACCTCTGGTATTATATCCGTTGGTGGCATAACCTAGGATGAAAATGATTATCTTAAAAAACAGTAGGATCATGATATTACTTCTTCAAAATTTTTTGCTGTCTGTAAAGGGGACGCAGAATATTTTCCAAATAAATTGAAGGCAGTTTTTTGATAAAAAAAAAAGAAATTCTGTTTAAAAAAACTCAAACACAGTATTCCACTAAATAATATAGGGAATAAATTTTGATGAATGAAATTTCAGTGTTGAGCTGATGAAAATAACTGCTTTTGCTTTTATGAAAAATGTTTCACTTCACCTTACACCTTAAACCATCAGATTTTTACAGTATTTTAAAATCAGAGTCGATGGACGCATGTATACATTAACGCATTTATAAATTAGATAAATTCTAGCAGGATGTATTCACGGATTTTTTGATAGTTTTTATACTGTAACTGAAAGAAATTTAAATTTCCTATCTGAATTTATCATTAGTTTATGATTTGAGTTTCGAGTAGTTCAAAAAGATATGTTGCCTGACGTTATAACGTTTTTCAATTTTCAACAATACTACTCAACAACAATTCACCAAAAAGTGTTGAGCTACTCAAATCAGACACTCTTAATAAATTATTATTGAAAATTAAGCGCATTTTTCAAATCCGCAATAATATTAAGAGGTTACATTTATTTATTTTTCTTCAGTCGCAGTAAAAAAACCATGGTTGCAAATGCTAATTTCACGTGTGTTTCGGAATTATGAAATCCAATGAGTGAGTGAAAATTAACAAAATCGCTGATTGAGTCTATGGTTTATGTGTCAAACCAATACTTTGCAACCTCTTCTTGTATCATACAAAAAAATATATATAAAACATATGATCATAACATTTAATGATATCATGATTTTAAAACACATTTTTTTATCTGAAATGTATATTTGCAACCTCGACAAACACTGTAAATAAACAAAAAAAAAACTGTTTTAACGTCACGTAGAAGTTGGCGGAAGGGGAAATCAATAACTTCAAACATATATAGTCTTAAGGTGGGTTTTAGATTCATTTTCTTAAAGAAAACTCCGTGCTTATAATAGAGTGTCCCTTGCATAAGCCGTTCGTAACGCTTCCAAATATGAAAAATCACCAGACCTGTAGTAAGTAGTTGCTTTTCACTGTTGTGAGAGATCGCCATTGTCTCAAATCACCTTCCTGGCCGAATGATGCTGTAACCGTAGGTATGCCTAGGGCTGCACTTATAGATTTCACCGTCTCGGAGGAGACGCCTGTTAGCGTTGTGTCAAATATGACATGAGGAGGTCTGTTAGTGTTAAGCGCCTCGGTATATTTAGAGCACACTAGAAATATAAATATATAAAAAACAGCATTACAGAACATATCACAGTATTACCATAGAGGTAACTATAAGACCAGTAGGTCCCGAAGAGACGTGCTCAACTTTTTGGCTCAGCTCTGGTACTATCTTCGGTCCCAAGCTAATCGATGCACCCCTCGAAACATAGGAAAATCCACGAACCCCTCATTTTATCTGTCAAACTTTCATGGCAAATCAAAACAAACATTGTGTAGTACTAGAATTTCGACTAGATTGGGGTACGTTAATCGATTTGCTTGGGACCAATAGGCTAGTCAAGTAGTGAGCCAATTTTTTTTTTTTTTTCTTTGGTTTGTTTTTTCCGTCGATCTTGTTTTCCGTGCTGAGCACCAATGCTACCTATCGACCCATCAACTCATGAACCGGGGACCAACGGCTTTACTTCCCATCCGAAGCAAGGCGTGATCAGAGATGTTATGCCTCAGAACATCCCGGCGGTG